TTTCAGGTCCCAAGTTATCAATTTCACGTTTGATTCGCTTGCAAGCTTCTTCTATTTCCTGCAACATGATACTAGTGATTCCTATGAACGAAAATTTTATAAAACATTGTACTTGTTATCAATACCAATATACCATTCAACTCACTAGAAATTTTCAATTATGTACAGCAATATAAATCTTAAAAAGGAACTCCACAATGAATAGAAACCTGCTCGCTAGTTTGGACATCTAATTTTTGCTGGGCATCTGGCAGCGGCATTTATTCCAATCCACTTTAAACTGCCGAGAATATATTTTGTCATAGCTAGACTATATGTGCAAATTATTTACGATAAAAGATACATTAAAAGATACAAGAAAGTACCTCTTGTCCTGTTAAAAACAACAATACATCTCCTTCAACTTCCTCACATACATGAATTTGGACAACTGTTCTGATTGCAGCTTCAAGATAATCTTTTTCTGGTTCCGGTGTATACTGAAAAAGTGTTATGGCTAATCAAAATATGGTTGAAGTATGAAAAATTCAAGTTCTTTCAATTTCGAATTGAAACTTACAAATATTTCGACCGGATACGTGCGTCCAGGAACTGACATTAATGGACAGTTCTCAAAATAATTTTGGAACTTTCCTGAATCCAACGTTGCGCTCATCACGACTATTTTAATATCCTTCCTTTGTCGAACAATTTCCTTAAAAACGCAAATAAGTGATGTCGAACCATGAGACAAATCATGTAACCGAAAATAATGATAAAAGGAGCAAACCTTAATCAAGCCCATAAGGATATCAGTTGCTAATGTACGCTCATGGGCCTCGTCCAATATTATAACGCCGTAGCTGTCCAACAATGGACTATTCATGGCTTCTCGCAGAAGCATACCATCAGTACAATATTTCAGGATTGTCCGCTCGCTGACGCAGTCTTCGAAACGTATTGAATAACCTACTTCAGCACCTAGCTGAAATAAGAAAAACGAGATTTGTATCTTTAATTTGGAGCTGATTTCCTCAACACTGTGTTCATTTAAATGTCCAGTCATTCACAGCAGTTTATTTGAAGTACACTCAATTCACGATCGAGATGACAAATTGTGTGATCTCTTCAAAATGACAAACGACAGAATCTCCAGGTCGTTTGAAAGCCCTAAGAGATGAATTAAGCTATGTTTTGACTGATAGTACAAGACAGCAATAAGATTAGCTCGATGAGAGACCCAACCTCTTTCCTATCTAATATACTGTTTTCTCTTAAATTTTCTGATGAAATCATAAATACCTACTTGCACATCCATTTCTTCAGCAACACGTGTCGCTACACTCATAGCTGCTACTCTACGAGGCTGTGTGCAAGCAACCAGTCGACGGTGTCCCGGAGGTGTACGCGCTTTACAATATTCCAAGCACCACTGTGGTATCTGAGTCGTTTTTCCTGATCCGGTTTCACCCACTAAGGTAAGACACTGCAAATATAAACTCTGTTGCTACTGATTGCTCACATAAATGTGCCTATCTGAAGCCAGCAGAATATGACCTGTTATTATCAGGTCTGTTCGCAAACACAGCTTTATGATTTCGGTATGCGTTTCACCCCAAATCAGTAGTTCTGAAGGCGTTTAAACGAAGTAATAATTAAAGAAATGCGAGGGAAATCTGATGAATTCGTAACATATTTCACTTTTATAATGTTGATATGGGAAGATCGATGAGGAAGCAGACCTGGTTTTTGTCAAGCACCTCTAGAAATTTGTCCTTGTACTCCCAAACTGGAAGCGTCGTACGTTTTTTAAATATTTCAAAATACCGTTGTGTGTAGGGTTGGCCATTGAAAGGATTAACTTCTACCTGAAAAGTAAAATCGAAATAATTTTAAAGTCAAATCTTCTTTCTGACTTGAAATTGAAAATGAAAGAGGTAAATCAAAAAGATATATAAAAAAATTTACTGTTGGACGGCGCAGTTTCTCAGTAGGTGATCGACTTCGTTCCCATCCCCGTTCTCTACTTCTACTCCGATTTCTTCGTGGTGAGCGCGACTTCGAGCGACTGAAGTGGAAAGAAATTTATCCATCTTTAGACAAGCCAAAATACTACCGAAATGATAAGCAACGAATGAATCCTACAGGAGATTTAAAGAATTGGCACCATGTATGTCTTTTAATAAAATAATTGTTTTACCAAAAACTTCATACAGTGATGGACAATTAATACTATCCTCGAGGAATATCATAATGGGAAATTAACTAGGAAAATCTGAAGTTTTAAATGCCATTTCCTATAGGTGCACGAAAATTCCTTACTCTACTTCTTCTCTACGATGATGAATAATTTCACCACAAAAAATATAGGATCAAAAGTGAAAGTATAGAAAGTAAGAGCTAACCTTTTTCGTCGATCTCGTTCTCGCTTCCTGTCTCCATCTTCTATGTCAAGCTTGTGTCTCGATGACATCTGCAAATGTAACTTGCTCACTTACAACTTTTGATAAGACTACGAATTTAGTGTGACCTCCTCCCCTTTCTTCTCTTTACCTTCTTATACAGGGGATCCCAATTACTTGATAGACGAAACAGGATAATACGGGCCGTATGACTGCCCGTCAGTACCTGCTACAGATTTCTGTCTCGAAGAAGTAGGTATCGGGTTAGGGTGGACCGAATGGGATACCGGGGATTGGGCACGGTACTAAAGGGTTGGGTAACTTGCGGATTGGAAGAGGCTAACAAGTAAACAGACTGAATGAGGTGCGAGACTGAGGTGCCAGTTGTTACTTCCACGAAGAACCAGTAAGAATAGTACACTTCAGGTTTGAACTTAGGAGATGAAAGAAGGTTGCGATGCTAGATTTGGTTGAGTGCAAAATCTTTTGTTTGTGTAGTTGGACGTTATGGCATTGGGACCCATTTCTCCTATGTTTGCCTTCTACTCATCCATGACAATACGTAACTTCTCTAGTTAGTGTTTAAGTGCAATTTAAAGTGATAAATATTGAGTGATAAATATAAAGAGAAGAGAAAGAATGGAGTGAGAAGGGATGGAGTATTAACTTCATGTTATTTGTGCATTATCAATTACTCTTCCTTATTTGTTAATGTGTGCATTGTTTATGCATCAGATAATACTTTACTTTCGTTTTGTAGTAGATTACTGGGACGCATTGTTACTAAATGTTGCGATTGCCACTAATCTCTGGGATTCAAACTTTCATTCATTACTGTCGTGTTTGAATATAAGGAGGTGCATCGTTTACTTGGTATTTGAGACGGGGTTTAGGTTTTCGATACTGAGAGATTACTGGAGAAGAAACAGCTGACTAATAAAAGTTAGGGAAAGGGAGAAAAAAATGAAATTGAAAAGACAGTAGAGGAAAACGGATGGGAAAGGAAGCTGCTATTGTTATTGAGCACTCTGTGTTGCGAAAGTTTTGGAAATAAGCACAGTCGAATTTTGGTTGACGACGGTTTATTGATAGATTATATTACAGAGATATTACAGAGAAGTATTATATATTACAAGAGAGCTTACAGAGAATGCTAAATAGACTTGGTCATCACGTCTCGTTGGATTGATTAACTAAGTCGAAGCGCGCAGTTCCTTGAGTGATTTGGGTATATAATGAGTAACTGAATAACCGAATTGTAGAATGAACCCAGTAGAATGACCTTCTGTGTTTTTCCGTTTTCCTTATGTAATAGGAGTTTGTTTACAACAGTTCAAAAGGCTAGAACCGATTGACTCCAACATGACCTGAGGTTCCTTGCAATATACGATATTAACCTGAAATTCTTTACAACATACCGATACTGATCAGAGATTCTTTACAATACATCGACATCGCATATGAACTTAATTATTAACATGAATAGGTTTACAACATTTTACAACGCTAGTTGAGCTACACATCTTTACAATGCCGACATTATTTTTATATTAAAAATATTTCGGTCTCTACCAACATTCTGTATGGCCTGCAAAGAATGTTATAGACGGGGTTGTGAAATGTCATTGTTCGAAATACCTGAACTTCCCGTAGCGTTCATTGTATAAATGTTTAGGATTTAATAAAAGTAATCTGAAATATGACGTGTTGCTGTGATGTCCCCATCACCTAGGATTTCATTATTTTTGCAATATTCCCTCGAACAGAAGGAATATTGCGACTGTTTCTGCTTCTGTACTGTATATAATGTATCACTTTCTAGAAAAATTGGGCTCAAATGGGCTTGGGACTCAAATAGCTCAAATAGTTTATGGGGTCGAATAGCTGTCTTTTCAGTAAATTCTTGAGAATTGCTCTGTCTTCTAAGTGGGAAGAAAGCAGTTGAACAGAATGAGATACTTCCAAATGTCAAATTTCGATTTTAATATTTTTTTAAAGAGTCTATTACTGAAATAATATGCAATTTTTGCAAACATCTTGTCAATTTACACTTTACCTTAGTTTAATTACAAATAATTTGTCTCGTTATATTCTTTCACGCATATTAAATCAAATTATTCCTATGTTTTTATTCAGGTCTATCCCCTCCACTGAAATTATTTTTGTATGCCGGTATCTTTTCTGAATGTATTTGAAACTTTCAGTTTGATTCATATATCAAATTATCCAGAGTCCTTGTTGATATTACTTGGTGTCTTTACTTTTTAATGTTATTTGCAACTCTATGCCATTTATTCATTTTAAAACGGTTTTAAGGGAATCAAATAGAAATTGCGGTCGTTGCATGTTTCCTCTTTTACCTCACTCCGCGCTCAGTGGTATTTCTCATTTATCTCTAAATTAAAAAAAGTGGAAAGTTATAATTATTTTACATTTCTGCTTTTTTTCTCCATTATGCCTTTATTTACTTTATGTAACAGTGACTTGTGCTCTTTGTTAGTAAGATAAATAGTCCCGAAGATAATTTACTTCTGATTCCGTATGTGCAAGGCTATTTAGTGCGGAGCAGGATTTTTTAATTGTAAATATGCTTAAGCTTTGTTGGTCAATTGTGGTTTTTTGCAGGGTTAGCTTCAGTGGTGTACTGAGGAGTTAAACTAAAGATCGAGTGTAAACAATTTATTGAAGTGGAAGAATGATCTGTACAGTTCTGTAGAAATGCGTCTTCGTTATCGATTCTACCAATAATTTACGGTTACCTGATATAACTATCAGCAAATTATGTTTACTTGGAGCGAAGATGTCAGGTCTTTACCTGGACCTGTTGGAGGTTTGCATGTTCTTTTGGTTGGAACTTTATTTATTTTTTTTGAGGTGCTTATTGTTCATGTACTGTTAAGATAGAAAAAGAAGGTTCCAGCAGCCTGGAGCATGGAATTTATTGGTTTTTAACCAACAGTAGTCTACGCAAAAGTTAGCTACAGTGAAACATATTTAGATGTCAGGACACTAATATCGTATTTGTTTTTTCTGAAGAACTGATCAGATCTATCTGATTATTTTTTATTATAAACAATCAGTGTCACCATTATTTTCAGTGAAATATGATGATAGCATGACTGTCCTGAAAATACATTTGGTAGTGATGGGAATCAAGGCGAAAACGATGGTTCGCGCTGCTAATACCGATGTGCACCTTAAATACAACGAAGAGTAGGTTATTTGTAATTATGTAGTGACGATAGATTTTCTGCGCGACCTTCCTTTTTTACAGAGGCTTATGTGTATTGTTGGAGGTGTTCAAATTAAATAAGAAGACAAAGCCGCCAATGAAGACAATTTTGGAGAAACGATTTTTTGAGATGCGAAAATGCCCAAGTAAAATATTAAGTATCGATTATGAGCTGAAGAAAGACCAGTGTATTCTGTCTGTTCGCAAATCTTTACCTGGTCTTTGGGTTAATGCTCTTTCTCTGTAGGTTTTATCGTTTGTTTTTGAACATCAAATACTTTAAGTGAATGATTAGGAGTGCAGTAGACGCTTTTTTCTACTGTATTATTTTTTATCGCAAAAAGGATTATATTGGTCAAAAACAATTCGAGAATGCCGATCTTCAGACGTCTTTGTTGTTGGATTGTTTCTTATAGGAACTTTGGATAGAGCAAATCGTATGAGATCTAGGATAGCTTCAAGTCGTGATGATATGTCTGTAAAAATGCTTGAGGTTCGTTTTTAATCCTATCTTCAACTAATTAGTGGCTTTTTTACAAACGAAGTCGATTTTGTTCTTATAATGTATATCTTACAGGATATATGCAGTTTTTTCTTTTTGTTATTAAAAAAATTTCGCTTCAATCAGTAAATAAATGCATAAGAAGCAGCGAGAGATTCTATCAACAAGTCTTCTTTTTTTTTTCTTGATGAGCAAGGTGAAATGAATCCTTATGAACTTTGAAATTGTTCGTGACTGACGTGCTTCTGGTTTGTTAAGTTATTATCTTCTCCGAAGAGTTCTTCGATTGTTCAGTACGCAGTGCATTTTACTCAACATTACTTATTCGCTAATGTGAACCGAGCATATTTATTCCAAATGTAGCTTTGGGATGGATAAATGAAACAGTAACTCAGTGTAGACTGCTGCTGTGATTAGTATTTTTTGCTTCATTGAATTTATTGTATTTGTTAATTTCGTGCTTCTGTGTTGTAACTTACTTTTTAATAATCGATTTACTTTGATGTGTATTTTTTCTAAATCGACAATCTTTGCACCATTAAATTTTCAGAATATTCATATCTTCCTCTTCGCTGTGTATTCTGCATTTTTCGTTATGATCAAATGTAAATTTGAATGGTTGCGTTTTTTTTTCTACTGTTTGGATAGAAGAACTTTGGCTTTTCTGTAATTTTGCTCGTAAAATTTTCGAGCTGTGGTGAAAAAGCCGCTTGATGAAGCCACTTAGCGTGTTTCACAGTGATAAACTGAATCCCTCTACTCGAGGTTTTTCTGGGCTTTGGAAAGCAGTGTACACGAAGCAGTAACAGCTATTATGACAGCGCTAACAGCAGATGAATCAAAGAAGTGGTGCTAAGCTTCTTCAAAGAATCAAGGAATAGTTCATGGAATTCGCAAGTACTGTTAATGATGAGAAAGTAAGCAATCGAGGATTTATTGATGTATTCTTCATTATCTCTTAGCGTTGACATTATTGCTGTTGGAAGGATTATGAAAGTTGGATAGTTACTTGAAAATAATAAGGGGGATACAGAAATGGTTGCGCTGAATCTGCGCTTCTCTTTTATCCAGAAATAATGTTTGAGAGGCCTAATTTAAACTGTTGTTTTTCGACTTGAAAAAAAATCGTATAATTCATGATGGCTTATCTCTTCCTTGCTACGTTCACACTTACCCAGCTTGTGAAGTTAACTCACCGTTCGAAGGATGCTGTGTAGATATTTAGCATCACGTGACAGTCACTTCCATTCCCCTATATTACATGTCGTGTGTCATTCAGATTTACTGTTTTCTCCCTAGACCTTCTCCGTTCTCAAACAAAGTGTCACATCTGACATTTTTATTCCGTTTTGTAAACTGGGATGTTTAGATCTCTTCTAAGCTGCATTCTCACATTTCACTGTCCTACTATGTCAGTACAGTCGCATTCAAGATTTTAACTAAAAGCATGAAAGGCGCTGGATAGATGTCAAAAAGTGACAAAAATGGAATGTTTGCAGAGAAGGCTCTATAAATTATTGAAATCATTTAGGAAGACTGAACGATCATTCATCATTATCTTTTCCAATTGATGAATTAATTATTAACTTGTCATTCAGCTGCCTCATAGTGATTTTTTCTCATGTTGCCACTCAGTCTCCAGTTTTGATGTGCAGTAAGGTCCGTAATCGGAAAGTTCGAATGGATTCGTCTTCTCATCTTTGTAAACATCAACAAATTCACCTTTGTCAATTCTTAATTCCTGTCAACGTCAAAAAGCTTATTTATTTCGTTCTCTTCATTGACAAGTTCGCACAATGAAAATTTATTTCAGTCTGTTGATAATTTTAATTTTCTGTTGATAATTTTAATTTTCTGTTTTTGGAATGCCTTCGTAACGGTGTTTGTTCATGATTCATGCAAAATCAAAAAAGATCAGCTCCTTGGATGTCTTTTAAAGGAAGTTTCAGGAAGTAAAGGCAATTGGAGAAGGCGCAACTCGTGACACCTAAGTTCGAGAATGGCTGGACGACGAAAATACCCATGAAAAGACAAACAAATTCACTGATATATCTTTCATCCACAAAACTTCATTTCGAATATCTTTTTTGAAATTATACCAGAAATGCAGAATGCGCAACAGCGGGAAGACCATGCTTGCTACATGCAGGCCAGGGTGTACATCGATTTTTTGGGAAAGAGTGTATGCTCTGCTTCAGAGCTAACTGGATTGGCCTTGCAAGACCTACTGGGCAGTCTGGAGACTTGAAGGTTCTCTCTAGAAGTTATGCCATTGCTATCCCTCTTTAGCACTTTTACTTTTTATTCATTGCTTTTACTGCTAAAGTACTGCTCTACAGTTACAGGTTCGTACTTTCATGTATACTACTTTTTTAATGGTTTAGTCTAGAACAGTGCTAAAAGGTCTTTGTTTAATTAAAGGATAGTATGGTGGGCAATAAGAATGCCTTTCTAGGAAAATCAGAGTTTGGCCTAGGCTCTGATCTAGCAAGACTTCAGACAGTGCATGCAAATAAAAGATATAGTTTGGCTCTTCTTCTGGCCATCTCATTCGGAAAGTTCATTTGCTTATCCTCTGGCAAGGTGGTTAATCAGCAGGAGTACTTTATCGCCCTTGTCCTTTCCTTATAATCAAAAAATCAATAGTATTAATCGATACAATATAAATGTGCATATAACTCACGCTAAATTGTATTTGATTATTTCTACAACATTGCCCTCAAACTTCATTTTTAAAGTATTCCTTATGCAAATATCAGACCCAAGAGTAATAACTGAATCGTGATGAAGTAGTATCAAATCTCAGGCTAAGTTTCTGTATTTCAAAGACTAAGGGGTTCCATCTCAATCTACTTTACTTCCACGTTGACCATCAATCAACTGTTGGCTACAAGTAATGAAGTTTGAGATGGGAGGATAAATTGCAAAAGTGTGAGTGTTATCGAAAGTCATTCTAACTCTCTACATAAAACTATTGTGTTCTTTTCATACCTAAAATGTCCCAATGATATAGTCATTGATTTAAAAAAGTCTGAAGTAAAAAAATCCATTATTTTTTGATTTACTTACGGCGAAATAACTCCAAAATTAAAAAGTTTTCACTGAAAACCAGAAATTTTTCGAAATTTTTTATGCTAAAAGCAGACTTCATTGTAGAAGGAAGTATTACTTTGAACCTGACATCTGCTTTGAGGAATAATTCAAGCTTTTTTTATTATTTTCAGTTTGCAATATATCTGAGGAACTATAGGAGAAATAACATTTTCCTAAAGCTATCAAATATGAAGCGCAAAAACAGCTTTTAATTAGTTTTCGTAAGTGACGAATTTGCATTTCAAATAATTTGAGCTCATCGTTGAGTAATAGCACAAGACATGGCAAAATTTATTTTAACTCCAGACAAATTGTGAGAAAGGATAGTAATAGCGATTCTTTTAATTTCTTAATTTTAGAAATTCTATGAAATTAGTGTAAGCGTTAGAAAATTTTCATTCGTAACTCTGAAAAGACATTTGGTTGCATCCATCTTTCGCATTAGTAAAATCATAATAATAATTCTAATACTACTGTGCAGTGTAGTGAATTTCTATGTCATTCTTCGTCCTCTCAATTATTTCCAATGTCTGAGAAATGGTACTCTTTGTAATATCACTACATGCCAGAAATTAAACATCTCCTAGAAATTATCAACAACAACTAACTAACTTATCATTTAATCAAACTTTAATCTGGTGTCTGCCTCGAAATTTAAGCTATCACTTATCTGTCACTTAAAAGAGTAAATAGTAAACGTTAAAAGGAAAAGCATTGAGAAGCATAGATACGTAGACAGGAGCAATGACACATAGATGGTGATCCTCTCGAATAGGTGGAAATAATAAGAAGAGTTGGAATTAAAATTAATGAAAAAGTAGAAATAAGGGTTCGTACTGTTATTAAGTTCAAGAGGTAAGTGAATGGAGAGTAGAAATGAGTGAAGAAAATAGTGAAGTTTCAAAAATGTTTGAAAATAGTGCATATTTGACCGAGAAACGCTGAACTACAAAAATGAATACTGTTAGAATATAAATCCTGTGTGTTATATAACGAAAATTGAAGGAGGGCTTGCAAACTTCTATAGAGAGATGACGCAATAATAAAGAAGTCTGAGGACCTAAAATGAAGTCAGGTGTGTTTTTTTAAATGTAAATGTGAAGGGGAACTTTGAATGTTGAATCCGTATCCACTGTTGGATCAGAAAATGCCTACCGATTGATTATCTGGGGGAGGGGACCAAAATTAGCCTTCCTTAGCCTTGCATGAAGATAGACTAAGGTGACTTTGTTAGAGGAGATAAAGGTGCGCCATACATTACCCTTTCAAGAAATTTTTGATAAAGTAATGAAAGATAGCCAAGCGTGCGATCAAGAATAGTAATTAAATGAGAAGGAACAAAGAGCTATTGAAACGAAAAAGATAATGTTAACTTCCAATCCTCTCAATATGGAAGAGTTCTCGAAAGCACTGAAGTAACTGTTGTCGTTTAAGTGTTGTCAGAGTAAGACACTTGTGTGATATATACAGGAACTGATTACTCTCATGTTTCACTTCGCTCCACTGTTGTTTTTTTTTGGCGATGATACTTCAAAAAGCTAAAATAAAACAAATAAGCGATAAAGTCATAAGTAGTTCGGAGGCGTTATTGTCATCATTGCGAAAAGCTGAGATGAAATTGCGGCAAGACAAATGAAAACAAAAGCAATGAACATCTGCTCCAATTATAAATAGTAGCATTTATCTAAGAAAAGAAATTGGCATAAGTAATATGGCCTAAATATTTTCATAACCAAGAGACAAGAACGATTTATGTGGATTTATGCATTTCCTATTTCATCTGCATTTTCAACATATGCTGAATTTCCTGATAAAATGAAATAAAGTAACTCAGTAAATAAGAGTGAAATTTAGATAGGGAGAGAGAAAAATATGTAAGCGGAATCCAAAATATGATATTAGCAGCAGTTTTTTCAAGAAATCATTTCATTTCTACTTTCCCTATAGTTGGCTCAGATTCAAGAGTTCAGTCCAAAACTCTTTAACCAATTGCTGTCTTCATAGTTGCTGAAGTTCTGGACTTCTGTTTGAGAATTTTCAAAATCTATTTATTTGTAAAGTATTCATACTGGGCACTATGACATTGTGTTAAGAGTGATTCAAGAGGGATACGGAGAGAGAGAGAGAGAGAGAGGCCAAATGAAATCCTCCAATTTTGATGAATGAGTAGCATTTTTGTAGGAATCTACCTCTCAGTGGTTTCTGATGTGAATGCGTTTGTGCTATTCTCTCCACAGCATGGTACAAATTATAACAGAACAACGATTTTTTTGCAGGTTTGTTTGACACATTCCATTAAAAATTAACTGGAAACTTGTACTTTCATATTAAACCTTAAAAAAATCCCCGAAATATGAGATATGAAATTGAAAGAGTTTTTTATTGTTACAGAATGGTTGTCCATCTCATTCAAGTTCTGTCGTGGGGACAGAGTCTGGTCGACGTCATGTACTTCCTCTAGATAGTATCAGAAGGCCAGATTGTGCTGTGATGATCAAAATTGCTTCAACTATCATTTCCCTTGTAAGGATTATTACTACTTTAGAACTACTACTTTGTGGGAATAGTTTATCTTTCACTATTTGTTCAGGAAAAGCCATTTGTGGATTTGGTGGCAGTGGCGGATGTTTCACTATTATCTCATGTTCGCCAGCCTCTCTGTATCAGCGCACAATTGACACTGTCAACGTCAGTAACAGTCCCGGTATCATGCATTTTGTCGCCATTCGATTCTGCCAGACAGTCGTGTCTTCTGCGAATCATTGTACCTTATTCGTGGTTCCCGCTTAACAACGGTCATAAGCAGGTTTATGCTTTCCAGTTATAGCACATTTAACATTTGTTGGTTGAATAGGCAGTTCATACAATTTCACTTTATAAGTTACAACAAGAAGTTTGATGTTGAAATAACAAAGTTAAGGTACGGGGAGACATATGTTTCGGTAATGTCGAACATACCGAGGAAATATTACCTCCTAGTAACAACTGAGTTAAGCTGATCTATCAACTATTTAATAAGTTTGTCGGTTAAACGAATAGATGACATTGTGAGTGGGTCGACAGAACTATCAGAAAAGTGCTCCGTTGAAAAAGTCACATTTGTGGTATCTTACTAGTCACAAAATTGTTTTGTGTATAAAAATAGTTTTATGAAATTAAAGTTTCTAAGTTACAGTAAACTTGTGATTTGCAGATCGTCACACTTCTGCATTCCACAGATAAAGAATGTGGCGCTCTGCACGCTGAACTATATCGCACAAAAATTATACTGTTATCGCCTTCTCCAAATTATGGATCATTTGATCTTCACAGACATTTTCCCACATTGTATGTTTTTAACATCAATTGTCAAATCTTGAAGCGACTCATCCTTGTGAAATTTTTATCATTGTATCATAATTTAGATATAAATTGCCTATCAAAGTTTGATATTTCTTTGGAAATTAAAAATATGTTCTGATGAAGGATATTTGAGGCCGAGAATCAACCATTGTTGAAATTCGACTTGTTCAATGAATTATTTTAAATTTAAATTACTTTTAGGCATCTGCAGCTACTGTCACCAACGAATTTTACTCTTGCGGCAAGTTCGCTTACAACTTTATTGCTGCATTTCGATTACAACGGTACCAATGAAACTCGCTTCACTGCTATACAGATAAGGTACTTCTGATTTTGTTCTCGCTTTTATTTGTTCAGAAATTCAATTTCTACGTAATCAAAAATATATCACATCATATCATATCGTTCTCAGTGTATGATGTAAATCCTTTTTATTTGTGTGCTAATATCGCGTTCTTGTCATGGCCATTTCATGCTCTTCATAAGAGCGGCTTCAAATAAAAATATTGCAGTGAGACATTTCCTAGAAAAAAACTAAATTATTGTTTCAAAATTAAGAATGTTAATTGTCCGTCAAAAAAACATTGCAGGATTTGGCTAAACAGTTATTTGAAACTTCTAAGCGTCACTTCAGCAGATCCAAAGCTGTGGACAATACAAGTGGAAACTGCTTCTCATCCTGACACTTATATGACCTTTACGTGTCACTACCACTCTTCCTCATCTTTGGATGGCAATTTCGAGAGGTGAGCTGATTTCAAATAGCAAGCATCTTCTCGGTTGTTCTTGATTCTTCATTTTTCAATAAATGTGAAGCATCTTCTGTTCCAATTGCGTCAAATAACAAATTATCTTTTGTGGTATTGTTGATTATCGTTTATAACAAATGATATGGTTTGAGGCGTTATTTCTTTCTTAACGTTGCAAATATTTTGGGGTAGGAGACAATTTATATAGTAATCAATTTTGATAAATACAATGCTCAACACAAGCACAGCCATTGGAAAAAGAAGCAACTGGGTAAAAGCTAAATTTCGAAATAAAAAATTATGCTTTATTTTATTATCCGTTCCGACCGAATATTCATACGTTACTACAATTCAGTTTTTATAGATTCAATGGGTATATAATGATGATGTTGATCAAAGTAAAAGGCCCGACAGAAACAAAATCCAAAATGCAATCAAGTGCTATCGATAATGATTTGGTCAGAGTTCATTGGGAAGTGCAATATTTTGTCTCTGAAAATTTTACTTATATGGTACAACTCTTTATCAATTTTTCTTGAAGAAGCTCCGTGACAAAGTAAAAACAGTGCCTGACTGCACGGTCATTTAATCCTCATGAGATCAAGTTACTACAATCTATACCATTGCTACTTATTATAAGTGAACTTTTGATCGTCTTTTCCTGGTGATAGTTGTGAGTTACTGTCTAGGTAAACGATAGCTTCACGTCCGTGATATTAGCTGATCGATGTTTGATTCATCTAATCGAAGTTTCAGTCTTATGCTTCCACTCAACTAAGCGCTACTTCTCACAAATGACGACAAATTTCTTAAAAATTCAAATTTCATCAATAATTTTACTTTTTAGGGTAAAACGACAACAAAGAGAGTGACAACACAATTCCGCATATTTTCGGATTTTCTATATGCTTTACTGCCAATGATCAAAGTAAATGGCTAATGATCCTTTACGACCATTTTAGGCAACTCTTTCCAGTTTATTTCCTATTGAAATGATTATAAAGGTAAAAGATTTCAAATTCTTTTTTCCTCTAGTGACGAGATATTCAGGGAGAAAATCTGGTCAATACAGCTGTGCTATCAGGAAAGCAAGCTGCGGTACCAATGAAGATATTCTCCGTTACGGAAGGTGGAAATCTGGATGACGTAACTAGCAGTTCATATTGTTTGAGTGCCGAATCACGAGTTTTGAAGGTTTCACCAACTTGTAGTTCCATCTACGTTGACGGGTTTGTCTCTCTAATGGCTACTACTATGAAGGAAACTATATCTTGTCATTATCTTTTGTATATACCTAAAAATTTCCTAATTGGTATTTTTTAAGATCTCCTGCGACCGACAAATTTAAGGACTGGGTGTTTTACGGGAGTTTAAATTGTATCATACTTCATCACAGTCCATTTTCAAGCAACTTTCAAGCTTTTAAACTGTAATAAAATGCCGATAAAACGTTATCAAAACAACCGTTTCTTGATTTTAAATAGCAGACTGAATAATAAACATTTATTACGTAAATTACAGATCAGAGTTACGTGGTATGAGTAAAGTTAAAGTGCATGTCCATTTTAAAACAATGACCACTTCGATTGAAGTTACAGTTTGGTATCCACGACTTCCAATAACTGTTTGGTTATCAGATCCAGTGCTAAATGCCATCAAAGGTTTTTTTTGCTTACATTCTCTTTAGCTTGAATGATTGCAATGAAACGTAAGCACACATCATGGCAGCAATGTCCAACATGGCCAAACTCTAAGCCGTCCTAATGGTTAGTCAATTGCATTGAGTTTAGTCTGTTCCTATGCTCTCGGGAAAGTTCCTAAACTTATCATTCTAGACTGGCAAATAGCAGTGTGGAAGTGGCTTCCTAGCAGACGTAAAAGGGAAGCCCGACAGTTTGGTTGTATCAATAAGTATCAACAAGCCGAGGTATAGTTGCATCTTATTAGCTTTATTGTCTGGTCAAACTTTCCAGTATAACTTAAGTATGGGAATATGAGGTCAGGTTCAACCCAGCGGCTTAAACTATGTCATCTAAATAAGATATCGAGAAGATACCGGTGAACACACCGGTTTAAACCATTTCGCACGATTTTATGTTAACGGTATTTTTAAATATTCCACTGTTGTTTGTAATATATGGAATTGCACAAGCGAACATTTGTGTATTCCAAGATCAGAGTGCACCAAAGCAATGTACTTTGCAGATTCGCATCCTTGCAAGTTATTATGTAGGCGATAAAGAGACTGGAGAACGGATCTATCTATCCGGTGACCGGGATATTTTATTCGATGTGACATCATTGACTATGAATCATGTGCATAGTTCAAATATTGCTGTTGCTGTTGTATTACCTCGACAAGATCGCATTTTTGTTGTGGCCCATCGTCCCGGTTCAGCCAGGTCTGTCAATATCGAAGACAGTAAGTAATATAAGGGGGGGGGGGGTCTATTTGTAATAATATCTCGAATCTCATACTGCTTTGTTGCTCTAGCAGTGCCAATTTTATAGGATAACAGTTCGCTCAAATACTCCAAATATAGATTACGGCAGTGCTCCAATCGTGGTACATTATTCTTCTTTTATTATTTTTTGATAATACTTCCATCTTATTTTTTTAAGTTTTGAGAAAACTTACCTGTTGAATGTGCAGGTGACGGAAGATGCTGTCTCCATACGACGGTTTGCGGTAGAAGGAGTTGCTGATATTGCTTTAGATATTGAACGAATTCCTAGAAGGGCTCACGAATATGTCGTTTCAACGTTTGTTCAAAACACTTTGACTTATAAGTATCAAGTAAACTTTCCGAAACATTTGTTTCTACTTTATCGTTTATATTAAAGTGAGTGAAAGCTGAAGAGGACATTTCCCGTTTTGTCACCACAGTATAAAATGTTGCTATGAATCATGAAAACGTTAAATGATGAGAAGCAGGAGGATGTGACACGTGCTGATCATCAGTAAGAACGATGGAACTTTTTAGACGTCGGAGGAAATTTGCTGCACATGGCATGAAAATTGAGAGGTTCACTCGATCAATTGTGGTGTGAAGCAGACAAAAAAAGAGTTTAGTGAAATTTACATCTGGAATTAATTCTTTGCAGCATGCCACTCTGGTGTGTCGATTATATTTCTCGGACGAACAGGTGCTTGAATTAACCGATATTCCATCAGAGCAGTACGTATTGAGAGGATGGAGTTCAGATGAGCAAGCCATAGCATTGAATCATGGACCAGGTGGCCATAACATCGAACTTATCGTTCTACAGAATGCTAAAAATGTGATAATCTCAGTTAGCTTACATAGTCCAGTGCAGTGCAGTGAACCAGATTCGAAAGCTATCGTTCAGATCGACTATCCCGTACAAGTCGAATTCAATGAAAGGAAGTTTACAAGCACATCATCTATGATTAGTTGTTAGTTTAGTTTATAAGCAATCGTCTTTAGAATATTTGGTCCAATTACTTAATTATGCCTCTCACTTTTTCTTCCCATCATTTCCATAAAGAGTTTAACGGTTCTTATGAAGTCTTCTTGTAGAGCTGCCGCTGTAATCTTTTTTCTTTCTAAATCCCAATAAATAATTTAACCGAAAATAATAAATTTTATCAAGAGAGCTTTTTTAAATTGTCCATTTTAACGCTTTGAATGTTTTTCTCGATTATGACAGTTTAATAAAAAAATGAAGAATTTTTGAACGATAGTAGGAAATCCTGTTTACTTCTAATTTTACTAAAAATAAGATATTATTTTTTCATCTTTACCTCTTAATTCAAATCATGAAGCCACATTTTGAAATTCAATGGATTTTAAAAGATAGAAACATTCAGAAAAGAAATTAGTAAAATGATGAATACAGTTTAAAACTCAATTTTTCTCGTTATATTGAAATTATTGATTCAAAGATCTCTACAAGGTATATGGAGGACTGAAGAACCTTCAGAATAAATATTTAACCTCCAAGAATAGCAAAATAAGAATAATTATCTTTCATTAGCAACGCGAATTTTAAATCCAAAACTATATTTTCCGAAGCACGGGAATCAAATCTTGAAACATGTTGGCCAGATGATGGGCGATCTAGCGCAATAACACTCAGATTTCACTTATCAAATCTTAGTATAAAGTCTAGTTGGATGTAACTGTAACGATAACAGTCTGATTCAAGGATATCATTCAAAAACAATATTGTAGATAGCAATAGCACGAGACTGGAGTCTATCACCAGTTCTGGTGGATGGAATTCGGAGGTGTTGCTGGGGCTAATCATTCTTCTGGCTGCAATAATAGGTATTGTGCATGCGATAGGTTCAAAGGGCAGACAACCATTCAATGAAGGTTATGAGAAGTTAGTACTGCCAATTCTTACTCGATTAAGTTCATCGAGCTCATGTGGAAAAGATGAAAATTCACAGGAATGGATATGGTTATCGAAGGCGCAAATTGATAGTGCCAGTATAAACAGCAGGTTTGTTGTAGTATTAGTTCAGTATGAGGGAGGGTACAATTGTAACAAGCATGTAATGAGATAATTCATATTGGGAAGGTGCATGCAGCGAAATAGATGATATTCATCGCTTTGTTATATGTCATATTAGAAGCTAATGAAATGGAGACAACAGACATTCTCCTTTCATACTGTTCAACTGAGTGAAATATTTACAAATAGTTAAGCATTCAGGTATTCACAGAAATCAACTATGGATGTCGCTGATAATACATCAAATGTAAGTACTGGGAGTACGCAACGTAGCATATCATATCGTGGATCAGAAATCAGCGTATTCATATCTCCACAACCTGCTGTGGCTGTAAGTTCAATCATCCATGGGATTAAATTGATAGATGCAACTTGTCAGCTTTCTTTGTCACTGTTTTTTTACCGACAACGTATTATATTTTTTTGTGTGCTATAATCGGTAGCAGAATTTTACAACAGTGTAAAATAGATCCATAGTTCACTTGTGCCGAACAATCATCAATCTGCAAATGTTTCAGATCAATCTTGATTCGTTGGAAAGACATACAACAAGCTGGCGTGGTAGAGAGAAAGCCAAGTTGAAAAGAAATGCGATGATTGATAGCAGTTCTTCAGAACATAACCTTTCCAGATATTCATACGCAAATTTGAATGGTAAAACTAATGAGCTGCTCTTATATTTGAAGATGTCGGAATTCAATTTTTCCAGAAAAATAACCTAGGTTCTCCGCTTTCTTCTCTGGACATCCACATTCTTAGCTCCACTTCGTCTGGATACCTAATCCAAAGTTTTGCGAAATAATTTTATTTGTTCTTTAGGGTACGGCTTTACTTATGTCGCCTCCGCTGGCAACGGAAAAAGTCCGTGGAACAGAGGAGAAGGAATTGCTGCAGCAACATCCAAACAAGTATGCTGGCGACATATCGATCGTGATTTTAGCTTCGATTCCGTGCCTGATATGGATGGAATCCGAGAAACAGTCACCTAAGTGCCATCTCCATTCTCTATTATTATCATACCAGTTATTTCGAATTTTATTTTTTGTTCGCTTCACTGGCTATAATTCGCCGCTTCTGCAATCCATCACATTGCTTCTCGTCGTTTTAGAGATATGAAATTTTTAGTTTTTTGATTGGTCAAGATCTTAAAGTATGGATACTTAGCCAGAATGTGGTCTGTGAGTAATTAATTTGACAATCAGTACCATTTTCATTTCATAAAGGCCATGCCTCGATATATCAGAAAAACAGTAATCATAAAAAAGCCACCATACTAAATAATGACGCTGAGTTTGAAATCATATATTTGTCGAGCACTTTTACAATGCAAGTCCAGACGTCGCATAATTGGTCTTAATTACCAATTATAGGCTTGAAACGGCGCGCAATCCTAGCACAAAACATTTTCCCTTTTATAATAGTACAAGTTAGCAAGTTAAAACGCGAAATCAACCATCAAAATGTGTATTCTTTACTCAGCACTTCTCTTGCTATATATTATTAACCGTTTGAAATAATTTCCCACGGGTAAAAAATATATTTTCGCATTGTCTGCTTCCATAAAAGTTGTTTCATCTTTATTTTTTAATAACAATGTTAGAACCAGAAAATAGACAACGAAATATACCAAATCTACATCTTACACACGGCATAGCATCGGCGAAGGCGTTTTGCTCGTTAATTTCAAATCAAATTATCAGCATTCCATTTGTTTACTAAACCATGAAGGTAAGTACTTCAAATGCACGACTTACTCAATGACACCGGGCATTGCAATGAGGACTTAACCAGTCTTTGTGCTTATAACATATTTGTAGGGATATGAACAGATAAATAATATCATTGAAATACATAATTGCAGAAGCTTAAGAACAAAAGATCTTTTTAACTTCAACACCAGTTCGAGCCCAAGGAGTACTAAAATTTAGCTTGCTATCTGGTAATTGACCTATTAGAAGATCTGAAAAATCTGGCAAGTTTGACGAGTACTGTATTAGTGTTGCCAAACAATTTATGAGTCCAAGATACTATCCCACAGTTCTGTTAGCCAATGAAATTAACGGTCAATATCGAAATGTTTCTGAAAACACCTGCAATCCATATACTAGTTTTGCTTTAATGCCATTCGTTTCGCACTTTTTAAGGGACCTTTTCCGATGGCCTCAAACCGTTCTGTTCCACTTACTATATCATTGATTACATTTTGTAATCTTGAAAGCTAGATGGTAGAAAAGAATTTCCCTACATTAATACTGTTAACCTATCTTAAGAAATAGCATGAGAAACAACTGCAGGTAAACTGAAATCGAACAGAAAGTTATACCAAAATTGGAAAACGGAATAAAATTAGGTGAACTGATGCCGAATCCAAACAAAAATCAAGGAACAAGAAAAGAGAACATACCCGCAGTGGACATTTATCCAAGAATTCAATATTTGAGTTCGAAAAGGGTGACCAACACAAGGTGATGATGCATAGCATGTGCCAACTATGCGAAAAGAATAACAAACTTCGACAGAATAATTTTCAAAGACCATCACTCGGTGTCGGCTTACATTACAGCTCTGACTTTTTGTTTCTCTTTTCAACATCATTTTTTCTTCTTGCTCTGTGTTCAGTTTTTTCCATTTGAAATAAAATTTATTTTTCATTTTCTTTTCTGAGCCGATATTAGATTTTTTTCTTTTCGCCAAACAGCAAATTATATCAAATAATCACAACAGAAATACGAAAAGAACAAAATAATCATAGATAACACAGACTTTAGGAGGAGCTGTTTAAGAAGAGAGGAATATCTAATACGGAGAATGCTACCATTGTAAGCTTGTCAATAGTATAGTTATTGCTACAGGCGAATCACCCAATGTCGCGACAAAAGAGTTCAGAATTTTTTTGGGCATAGAGGCATGGGGTCAAGCAATTTTATAAAAAGTGTAGCTTGTTTAAACATTTTCCACTGATCCGAAAAATCCTGCCTGGAAGTGAAGTACGGAAGATTCACTGACCAAATATTCTTTCAACTAATCTTCATTGCCATCATCGTCCGACTGAAAATTCTTTTATTACAATTAAATAAAACTGAATTTCCCATATAATATGATCGCATCCTAACACAGAAAACCAGTAGCTGAATTCGAAAGAGACTAGAAATTGGAAACTTCAGTAGGTCGAAACAACAGAGTACCAAAGGGTATATAGGATCAAGCTGACAAATCAGTAAGTCTGTCTTGAAAGATAAAAATCTTTGCAGCACTACATGAACAGTACCTGATTCAAGTACATTCTGTGTTCAGAAATAGCTAGGCTGCGCTAAAAAGTTATCTTGGTTTAAAACAACAAACAATTAAACATAACAAACCTCATCCAATGGACAACTCGCCAACAAAGCAGCAGGGGTTACACGCTCCGACGGTTGTCGTTTTTCATCAGGTACAACGCCACTCGCCTCAGCTCCATGCTTTGGGGCCCACTCAACTATTAAGTGTCCGGCAGGGTAGTCTGCTCCAAGTGATACTGCCTTAAAACGAAAGTAATGAGCACTATTTATTTGAAGGAATAAACATACAACTGTCAGCAACAGTAAATTCTACCTCTACGAAAATAAGACTAATTTCCATTAAAAACCTGTTCAGCATCACGCCTTTTTTTGTAGGTAAAATAAGCAGTAAGCGATTTATCCTGCGCAGGAACTCCAAAGTCCATGTCGACTAATTCTCCAAAATGTTCCATATGAATAATGACTTCATTTTCTGTTCCTGCTTCAAAACCACGTACCACGACCATTTTTGAACGGTTATCAAGAATCTGCAAAAGAATGATAAGTGCAAGGAAAAAAGTTTGATTCAAAAGTAAATAAAAGTGAGGAAAAACCGTTTCTTGCTATTTACTTCAAGTACTACTAATTTAACTTGATAACTCGATATACCTTAAATTTTTGAAAAACTGCTCTTCTGTACACCATCTACTTTTCTATTAGACGAAGAGAAAAAAACATGAACATGAAAAATGATTTCCTTTTTTTAAAGGATCTGCAGTACCCTGGCACTACGGCACACTAAAACGTAAGGTGTACTTGCATACCTTGAAAAAATATATTTCTCATCACATATTGCAAAAATAACTGTTATTAAAAATATGTAAAAGACTGTGCCTCAAACTGCAAACCTGTGAAGAGTCTTGTAGGCGAATTTTTTTAGGAGATGGAACCATGTCGCTGACTGATAATTCACCTGCTGAATATAGTAATTGCAGTTACACATTAAACACACTTGCCCAATTCAAAAAATTATTTCATTTGAAATGATATAGTTCAGCTAAGTAATCATGTCTGTATTGTGAAGCACATACCATCAGAATCGGCAAGATCCACACCAGTAACAGACTCTGCAGCACCACCGCAGCCGTTTGAATTATCTGTTGTCTTCGTTGCTTCGGAAACAGTTTTCGTTTTTACCAACATTTCATTAAGCTCAGCAATCTCGCCTTTTGTTTTAGCCACAGAAGATTCTAGTCTTTTGAAAATCTAAGAAAATGAACAAACTATGAAAATTACAGAGAATCATCGAACTGTATATTACATTTTGTGTATATTACTAATATTCCGAGTAAAGAGACTTGCATGAGTTCCAATAATTGAGTAATAAGTGCTCTATTGCAGTCCCTCTCCTACCTCTTCCCCGTTACTTCGAAATAAAGAAAAAATTTTCAAAAAAAGTTTTCCAGCAAATATATAACACAACCAACGATGAAATAAGAGTTAAAATTTTCAATAAACAACGCTATACCAAGAGCATAGCTGGGTGTAAAATGGAAATTCCAAAAAATGAAAAAATAATAAAAAAATAAAAAAGCTAACTTCGTTTACGACCATAATTACCATGACAAACCTTGTATAACTTCTTCTTTTTTTCGGGAGTAATTTCTCCCGCCTTCATTTTTTCCAGTATGATTTTCTGCTGTTCAATTTCTTTGGACATAAGATTAGATTTTCGCCGCTGAAGATCTATTAATCTCATTCTGTTTTCCTTTTCTTGTTTTCGTCGACGCCTCACCTGCAAAAAGAAATTGAGTCATTAAAGTTACTAACCTGCTCAGCGACTAGTAAAACTCGCAGTACTGAAAGTCCCGAAAGAAACTAGTGACATCACCTTCTGGTCTGAGATAATCATCAAGCAACACGAAACCCTCAACTTGTTTAAGAAACTTGCGAAAATCCATCGCGCTCCGAGATTACTTTTCCACTATCAGCTGACATTGCAATAAAGAGTTTCAGTTGGAATTCGTAAAAGGTAATTTATGAAAAAGTTTTTGACCATTGAAAAATGTATTCCACCAAATACTTCAAGCAGAAGTTTAAAAAAATACTTCGATGTATTTCTCTCTATCTATCAAGGATTGATTGATTGCAGAACGCGAAGCCTGAGGTTCGATACTCTGCGAATTCGCTGGATGTACTGTTTGTGAGTTCTTAACAGCAGAACCAGCCAATCGTGAACCAACATGCACTGTCTTTGTCAGAGAGCCCCTCGCATTGAATGTTACCGATGAGCTATTCGTTGGTGCCACCTATAAAATATTTTTCCAGTTTAATTTGAAGCCAAACCCACTCCAAAATTGAAGTCAACGGGTTTAAGTTCCGTTTTTTTTTCGCTCCGTTGCTATCAGTTTCAATATAAAATATGAATTTTTGCTCTGTGCAGTGGTAAGTGTTAGCTGAATGCAAAAATATGACCTGGCTTGCATTTACAACGTTATTTGCTTGCCCATTTGTACTATGCCAAAATACTTTAATGAAACGATTGTTGAGTATTGGCACTGTACTCTTATAAGCTGCAACTGCTTCGTATCGATTTGCGTAAGTAATAAGGGCTGCTTCTGGATCACTTTCGAAACAAACCTGAACAATAAAAAGCATTTTTGGAAGAATCGAACGGAACGTAAACAAGAACAGCATCTGAAGAAAAACAGGTAGAGAATGGTAGAACTTGACACACTAATGCATCCAAAAATCGAAATATCGATATGAAAACAAAGATGATTTTGATAACTTCAGCGCTTCGTACGTCGTCTTTCTAAATTATGTTAATCTTTATAAATTATGCTTCTCAAAAATGCCGCATTAAATTCAGAACTAGTACGGAACAAGGATTCTACGAAAATTCTTTACCTGCATATTAACGATTTGCCCGAATTGTCCAAAGTGCTCATTCAGCTTTGCAATATTGTTCAATTCCGCAGGTATCTTACGTACTTGAAGCGTTCTATTCACAGCACCCACACTTTGACCATACCGTCCTACGTTACCAGTACCACCTCCTCTTCCTCGTCGTCTTTGACTAGTCGTCAACTTAAAAATTTCCAAATAATTACAGTGAAATATTATTCGTATTGGCAGTAGCATACATAAGTTCCAAAGACAAATAATCACTGACTCCAAGTCTCTTTAGAAGATAAAAGAAGATATATTCTTTAACCATACATGTTTTAATCATAAACAATAACCCTTATTAATCTGAGAACAGAGGTCGAAGCACTGTGTTCCCCGAGAACATATTTACTACAAATTGCAAAGATAACAAACCTGCGTGACATTATGCGATGGAACAGTAGTGGACGAATGCGCTGGATCATAGGCATTGGCTGCAGGATGAATTAAAACAGATGATGACATGGCAGGTACCGTATAAGTTGTTGGTCTCCAAGGCTGATTTACTACAACTGGAGGGATGGGTGGTGGCGGTACCGAAAAATCTAGCGAATGTGCTGCTGCTACAATTGGTATCGAAGAAGCGCTCAGTGCTGGAGCCTCGGGATTATATCCTGTAACACACGAACTTATAAATTTTATCTTTTACAGATAAATACAGATGTACATCAATTTGTTAAAAGGAAAATTATAGGAATAGAGAAAACGTGAACTGAGAAAACAAACCTTCTGAAAGAGCGGCTGATACAACAGCGCTCGAATTTGTAGCATATACATTGTCCACACCGGGCGGTGGAGGATTCAACGGTGTATAGCCAGGTGGTGGAACCGAAAAATTGGTCGCAATTTGAGTTACAGCAGGTTTTGCTCCATTGGTGACCATTTTTTCTAGAGCAATATCGTCTACAACGACTGGATCTGGCCCATGATCATAAATGCATTGATCTCCTTTCATGCAGTATCCTTTTTCATCGTAATCACGACAACGTTTTTTTTTTCGTATTTCAGGCTCACCACTTTTTTCGCGCCTGTAAGTAGACTATGAAAAATCGACAGCAGGAATGACGAATGAAAATGACTGTGTTTAAGTCCCGTTAGTAAATCTGTTACTCAAAACACGAAAAAAAAGACTATTGTCCTTAAGATAATTCACACATGATTAAATCACTCAATAAAAGTGCTTCCTGTTAGGAAAAATACCTTTGCCTTTCGTAAGGAGAACGTGGTGAACGAGATCGCTTGCGTTCTAACCGCTCGGGACGGTCAGTTTTGTATCGATCTGGTTGCCAGTGTTGTAGTCGTGTAGGCAAAGGTGCCACACGTCGGTCTAAGTTTCGATCCCCACGTTCCAATCGTCTTTCACGTGGTGATCGGCTACGTCGCCTTTCGAATCTTAAAAATGCATAAGATGCAACAGTTCGCTTAATATTACTGGATCTTTTGTGTTTAAACATAAGATAAGGTAAGTGTAAGTGGTAAGGTAACATACGATACTCACATTGTATTTACCGATTAATCCATTCATGAGGACTAATTTAAGACCATCAATCTGATGGAACCAACCGCTGATCAAACTGTCTCTTTGATATAAAGACAAGTGTAAATATTTCTGTGATATACACCACAAAAGAATTTACCGATTTGCTGAATGATCGCGACGGCATTCTTCACGTTGAGGAATATCTACTGGTGGTGAGATTCTTTTTCGTGCTTTTTGAGGTGGTCCTGAAACTGTTTCAGATGCGGAAGTCTTTTCACTCTCTTTGTCGTCTCGGACCTGAAAATTCACGTAACTTTCGTTCATGTTTCATTGTAAAAAAAAGCCAAGGAAATTAATATTGAGAAATGCATAATATACTAACCTTCTGTTGTTCCTTTTCCTTGTCGCCTTGACTGACACATTTCCTCTTGACACTTTCTCTTTTCTCTTTCACTTCTTTTCGTTCATCAGTATCCTTCTTTTTTTCACACATTACAAAAGAATTTTTTGATTGTAGCATGGGGATGGTAGCTGATGTCGCTGCGGTAGTAATTATGTAGCTACGTTCCCTGATGATACGAAACAGTTTCTCCACGAAAGGTCTCGCTTCTGAACGAAAAATGTTCATTGTTATACCTCTTTAATAAAGAGGTAAACATTTTATTGACTAAAAGTATCTGATGTTAGGTAAAAACAAAGTACAGTAATCAGTCAGTTCATATTTTTTAGATTTTATAGCTTGTAGTGTAGGACAATTTGATTTTCAAGCCATGAAAAGGAGTAAGGAGCCGAAAACGAAAAAATTTGAGTCGATATATTTCAAAGAAAAATGCGAGGTCATACTTGTTTGCAAGAAAACATCAAGTTGTTCAATACAAAATTCCATCAGCTCCGATTCTGGTTTGTCCTTGCGTAACAGAGCCAGTACATATTTGGCAAGAGCTGCTGGTTCAGCATCACATCTGAAAACGGTAAGAATGTTTTCAATTAATCAAATATGAAAAATTACAGAAAAAATAACAGAAAAATGTCTTACATTGGAGCCATTTCTCTGGTAAGCCACGTGCGTAGCGCTTCAGGTGCTTCTATAATCATCGCTGTGTTACCAATTACCTAGCCTATGACAAGCCTGGAAACAGCTTGAGTTATTTAACGAAGCAATGTGTGCTTACATGTGCGATAAGTAAAGACGTCTTGTATTAGCCGAACCACCGTAAGGAGTAGAGAGAGGGCTGATGGAAACAGCATATGAAATGACGAGTAAAGATTACGAAACATCTGGATGTGAGTTGAATCCTTATGAAGTTTGATAAAAGGATATTTGATAAAACACAACAGAGCTATACTGATGGTATTTCAAAATAAATCTTACAAGACTCATACACTTCATCAATTTACATTTTATAGCAAGAATGGTTCTTTTGATTCTTAGAGAAATGAAGCAACAAGGAAAACAGCAGTGAACACCAGTGATTTATCGAGAACACAAATGTGCAGGGATATTCTGCCAGCCTGACCTATAGAACCATATCTATAGCGTAATTATACTATAGCAAACTAGTCTTGAAGACACTTGCAAGGATTGAAAGTGTCTTAAGTTTTAAAAGTGAAGTCAATGGGCCTGTTGTACTTTTGAGGTGACGCGTTAATGTTGCATCGTGATTATTGCAAGAGATGCACTGAATGTCATGCATGTCACATGGTTGACACTATCTAAAGTAATAATTCTGCCAACAGTGTTAGGGAAGTGATAAGTGATATACGAAATATTAATGAGCCTACTCCAAATCGCGAAAGACCCCACCCCACACAGCACTACCATTTCTCCTGCACATTGGATGAGCGAGCGAGTGTTTGGGATCGGAATGAAAACATCGACCCCTCTACCATAGTCAAAAGTGCAATTCTTGAGATGCAAATAGATCATCCCTCTCACGTTAAGAAGCATTAGCGAGTTAGGTCATGATAATTCTCCACATGATGTATTCTCGTTGCAAGAGCAGAGATCGAATTTAACATTATAACTTAATCTTAAACTCATGAGTGATCAAAAAAGTGCTATATTCTGAATCAAAAAAAGCTCGACCTCTCCTACGGCAATATTACCAAAAATGATGAGCTTAACAAACCATCAGAGTTTAACTTACAGTTTAAAAAGAGACAACTTTGAGTTGGTATGGAAATGCCTCCGCTATACAAGTATGGTCTGTAAACTGTTATCATCCATTCCTCATCCCTTTTGTCATATTGTAAGAACGAATAACAATTTAAGTAGTCCTCACTCCACAAAACTTCATGTTATCACTAATAACACTGATATTATCTACTATCCACCAGACCATCCACTGAATCAGTTGCTCTCCAGATCTTAAAACTTTCTTCATAGCAAACATATGATTCAAGAAAATGATGTGGAAAGCACGGGAAGCATGGACTGTCATTACATCTTACTCGCATATTGTCTGCCAATAGTAATCAATCACTTTATTGAGTAATATAGAAAGATGTTTTTTTTCCCAGTCCAAATCATTCACCAGAAGTGTTTCATCTCCTGCTGTTAGTAGGCAATGTTCACATTGGCAGATAATATCCAAGATATAATGACATTCCATAGTCCAAGAAAAAAAGGTAGCTAAATTACATATTAATCTGTTTGGTGAAATCCAATATGGTATTACCTAAATTGACTGGACTAGATCTTTTGATTGACTATTATTCACTACATTAATCATCCGATTTCAAAGAATCGCAGAGCAGGATACAGTATGTGCAGGAACTGCCTTGACTTTGATCTCCTGATTATGAAGTAATGAAAGCATACATTCGAAACTTTTTTCCATAACTTTTGGATGCTTGCACTGCTAAACTTGTAGTTTGTTTAATAAGCACAACCTTTACAACTACTTTTACATAGTTTGGGCTTATTAAAACAGTGGTTATATAGGTTGGAGTTACTAAACAAACTTTAGGCTCTGTCGCGAAAGTCGCG